TGCCCCTCTACTCTGCTCTGGTGAGACCTCACCTAGAGTACTGCGTCCAGCTCTGGAGCCCTCAGCACAAGAAGGACATGGAACTGTTGGAACGGGTCCAGAGGAGGGCTACAAAAATGATCCGAGGGCTGGAGCACCTCTCCTATGAGGACAGGCTGAAAGAGTTGGGCTTGTTCAGTCTGGAGAAAAGAAGGCTACGGGGAGACCTGATTGCGGCCTTCCAGTACCTAAAGGGCGCCTATAGGAAAGATGGGGAACGTCTTTTTAGTAGGGCCAGCTGTGTTAGGACAAGGGGAAATGGTTTTAAACTAGAACAGGGTAGGTTCAGGCTAGAGGTAAGGAAGAAATTTTTTACAATGAGGGTGGTAAAACACTGGAACAGGTTTCCCAGAGAGGTAGTGGAGGCCCCACCCCTGGGAACATTCAAGGCCAGGTTGGATGGGGCTCTGAGCAACCTGATCTAGTTAGCAGTGTCCCTGCTCACTGCAGGGGGGTTGGACTAGATGACCACTAGTGGTCCCTTCCAACCCTAAACATTCTATGATTCTATGATTCTAAATAGTGGATTATGCAACACTTGGATAATACAGATACTGTACCTGAAAATTTACATAGTTTTGTTGCTAATATTTTCTTGCAAAGTGTTGGCTCCTATCTAGACTTTTCATTTGTCAGTGACTTGATTGTTTATTGTTATATTTTCACTGCTAAGGAATGAACCTTGGCCACTCCACACCTTGGAGAACTACATATATGTTATGTGATTATGTGATAGTGCTTTCTACACTTCAGCGCATAACATTTCTACAGGTTTAAACCTACTGAGTTCCCCTCTTCAATACAAGATCAGAGAGGAACAAATGAAAAGGTAGTTGTTCACTATACAAGTTGTAATTAAGCTATGAGACACCTTGCTGCATGACTTTGGTGGTGCTAAAACACAAGGTTGAGGGTTGCATGAACTTTAGGTCTGACTTATGTCATTTTATGTAAGTTAAATGGAAGTTTTATGCTGGAAGAAGCCATAAATCATTTGTCCATATGTTTCTTCACAAACATAGCTAACCTAACATGGCATTTCAGAGTACAAGCAACCTCGGAGGTGTGTGGTGTGGGATATCACCAACATTGTTAGCAGTTACTTTTTGATTGGGTTCATTATAGCCTAGGTGGGCAAATTATTTGGCCTGTATTCTTGAGATTCATTGCAGCCCCATATTAATTATGAGGAATACAATTTAATAGCCATCAGCACACAAACGAAAGCAGAGTTTTTAGCTGGGCTAGCCAGCAATCCAGCTAACGACATCAGTGTGTCACAAGGATCAGCCAGAGGAAACTTGTGACTGGATTCTCTTCTTTCCATCTGAAATGCCCTGACCTTTCCTAGCTGCCCTGAGATGTTAGTCCAGGAGACTCCTGTAGATCCTGTGTCACTTTGCCAAAGCCTTATCAGTGTCTCCAAAACCCCTGTGCAGCTCAAATGGCACTTGATGCCTATGCCAATGGAAATTACTTGACCAGAAGGTTTACGATTCTACTTGGTATTTTTATGCTACTGTATGCTGGGCTAGTACAGTCCGAGCACTATATACTTGTCATAGAAATTCCCCTTCCAGAATTTAATAGAGAAATATTTACTTTGCATCATAGAAGATTATTCTGAGAATAGAATTATCTCTTATCCAACAATCACTATGACTTCACTAAAGGCCAGAAATTGTTGGGGTTTTCATTCCAGAAGTAGGCATAAGCTTGCCCTTTTTCAAAGCAGTGGTTTTTTTTTTTTTCTTTTTGTCTTTTTGGTTTTTTTTTTGAATAACTGCCAAATTGTCTTCCCAGTTCCCATAGGGTTCTCCAGCAATAGGGGACAGGTGACTTACTCTTTGTATAATGCTGAGATTGTAATCACAACAGTAAGAAATTCTGGCCCATAGGTTTCTACAGAAAGCAGATTTTGCCTTTCAAAATACATACATCTGTTCACTGGAGAAATCTAACTGTTATCTTGTGCTAGGCATGCTCCAGGCTACGTAGATCAGATAAGACTGCATACACTTAGCTTGGACCACCTCTAATGTAGGATAGTGCAAGGATTTTATTGCAGGTAAACAGACAGTAGATGCTCTCTACTTTTGTTTTTTGTCATTTGCAGCTCTGGGAATGTTCCAAATTTCCTGTCTTTGGCATCTGGTGATCTATCAAAATCACACCTTGAACTCCATAACAATTATGCCTTCTAAAAGGTGGCATAACAACTTAAGTAACCTCCAGGAAGTTACAATTGCTATAATTCAAAACACTCAAGATGAATAATATCCCATTGTGTCAGAAGTTCCCTTGAATAGGAAATGAACAGAAGAGGCTGCTGTGCTCTACAGTTTGGTAGCTGTACTGCATCATCTGTGCTGAATTTAGACAGAGTCTTTAATGCTTAAGTACATATTTACACTTTATAAAACCTTATTATAAAAAAAAAAACTTGAAAAATCTCTATAGAGACAATATCACTGTCACTGAAAATCCTGATTAGCTGAACCACTTCTTCTGAGCTCTGGTTATACAGGGAGTTAAGAGAGGGAATGATTCAGTGATTCAAGCAGATCCATTGCTAGTACTGACAGAAACTGGCATTAAGTTAGGAGTGGAGTGGAAGATGTCAAAACCACCAAAATATGTTTAAAAAGTGGAAATCATTGAGATTCATTAAATCACTGACTCTTGCTCTGAAATGCTTCACTGACTTTGTTAATCTTCCTTATGACAACCTATTAATGGCAGTAGAAAGAAACAGTGGTCACTGTTCAGCGTGATGTGGAAAGGCAGGCGCATCAGAAACTAGGTGTGAAATTTGTGCCATCTTTGCCCTTCTAAACTGAGACTCCAAAAGGTGGGTGGAATGTACTAGCTCTGATAACTCTAATTGTGAAGCACTAAAGTAAAAATGAAAAGATTTGCAAGGCTACGGAGCACATTCCTTTGGCTTTTGCAGCACACTGTGTGTCCTGCATTTATGAAAATCTAAGCATTTCTTTTATATAAATACAGGTATCTCTGAGCACAATTGGCAGTTCTTCAGTCATTATAAAATTTCTGTGAGGTATAAACTCGTGGATTGAAGCAGCTGACAGATGTGTAACTATTTATTTGAGTTTGAAATTTGATCTCACTTAGAGAAAAGTCTTTCCCTTTTGCTACATGGATGACAACAGTGTATGAAGAAATGTCCCGGAAGATATTTCTTCATAATGCCTCCACAAACGAGTCTGAACACACAACATAATACTGTTTATTTGATTCATGCAAACGCCTTTGCTCCAGTAATGGTCAGATTTAACTTGCATTTGTTCACTTCAGTAAGGGCAGAGGCAGAGCAAGAAGTAGAAAAAACAGTGCTACTAATTTTGTAATCTTGATATCAAAAGATATTGAATAACAACTTGATATCATTGCTTGGGATGACAGTGGCCTATTCTCTGCTGAATCCATAATGACACCTTCATCCCAAGACACTTTCTGCAGGGAGGGACAAACAAGCATTTCCTCTGCTCCTATACGTGCAACCACAGTTGGATGTTTTTTGCATTCACATAGAGACCCACCTGTTAGTGGAGCAAGATAATTTCTTCTGATTTCATACACAGATCAGAGAATTTCTGCTCAGCTGTGTGCTAAACATGGACCTTTGCAACAAATTTCAGGATAATTTCACCTTTTCATCATAAATCCTTTCACAAGAGACTACAAAGTATAGACAACAGAGCAATAGAGAACAGAGTACCTAGAAAGGAAGCTTGCAGCTCAGAGGGGGCAGTCTACAACCCCTACACACTGCTGCATGGGCTCTAGTGCAAAAATGCACAATCCTTGAGCACCAGGGTATCAAGGTTAACCTGTGGACCGGTGGCTCTGCAAATCAAGTTTGCTGAAGAAAACCAGTCAAAAACCACCATTAGAAAACCAGCCATATTTCCACTCTCTCATTTTGATGGGGTGAGACAACATGATATATCATGATTAGCCCAATGGAATGGGGCACACTTCAACAAATTTATGTCACACCTGTACAGCTATCTATGCTGAGGTAATTGTACAGCAAGTCTCTGTAATCAGTGGTGAGAAACAGGATACTGTAAAGCACAAATTCTCTCACTCCAAAGGAGGTGTCTAAAGGAGCTCAGCATTCTAGTAGACTGAACAGTATCCCATAGGTGAATAAATATTATTGGTGGGTATAAAGGAAGTCTACTCATCCACCTCTGACAGAAATACCTTACTGGAGATATGTACTGCCGGGTGAGATAGCTTTCACTTCGGTTTCTTCCCCCACCAAAGGGAGAGGGCTTCCTGTCTATCATTTATGAACTATTATATTGCTCCTGGAGTGTAAATAAAGCTTAACAAAATCCTTCTGTGCATAGCAGGCCCTCACTAGAAGATAAACACATCCTCTCTGCGGAAGACTCTTTGCTCTTTAAAAGATTGACTGGGAGCCCAGGAATATTTATTTAAAATCTATCTCAGTTTACCAGGAGCAAAATGCTTTATTAGAAGCATGTACGTCAGTCTAAATGCATTTTTGGAATGCTCATCTCGCTTTTGCTACCTGGACGTCTGCTCTTTGTAGTCTGTACTTTCTATAGCCTGTTTTGTATTGTG